CTGCCTGCTGCCGCCTGCACCGAAGAAGAAAACACGGACACTCTACAATACCGGTAACCAAATGATCTGTTTGTCGAGGTGTTTTCACATTATGCAAATACTTGCATGTGTGTGTTGTGCTTATGCCTACAGATCAGTTAGAGCATTTAGAGGCCCTATTCCAGGAGGACCATTATCCTGATGCAGAGAAGAGGAAGGTGATTGCAGCTTCAGTTGGTGTCACACCTCAGAGAATTATGGTAAAACATCAAACCATCTCTTATTTTCCTTTTGATAATTGGACTATCTACATGAGTAAGAATAGAAAAAAATGTGGCTTGTCTTGCTTTCACTCTCCTCTGCCCCTTCTCATTCTCGCTGTCACCCTCTGTTTTCTCTTGTGGTCACTCGTTCTCCATCTCTACAATCTGCTGTGGCCCAGGTTTGGTTTCAGAACCGCAGGGCTAAGTGGAGGAAAGTGGAGCGCTCCATCACAGCAAAGGTTGAACATAGACAGAGTAGAGCTGGATGCAGCAGCAGCCCCCCTCATCACCAAATGAATCCCACCCCACCCACACTGGCACCTAATAGGTCAGCTATGGTATGTTCACTTGTTATTTGATGATTTATTTTTAACAGTGCAATAAAACATGCATTCATGTTTTTGTTTTTCAGTAAGGGGGCTCCCTGTTTTCCTGGTCACTTTGCCTCTAAACTGCCCCATCTTGCCCCTGTGGCTTCTTCTTTGCCCACCCTGTCCAACCAGACGCCGAGCTCCTACGGCAACCTGCTGGCCAGCCCCGGTACACCTTCTCCAGACCCCAGGGTTTAGTTAGTGTAGATAAAATATACACAATAGAATTTTCACACGCTAAGAAAGGGCAGTGTATTCTGTGGTAACTAACCATGTTGTTGTTTATAAAGTCTGAGGTCATGTTCAGACTGAAAAAGTGACGCCCACTCACTCATTTTAATGAGGCCACTGTGTCGGCACAGCAGGAACACAGACACAGAGGCCTTTAAAAATGTTGATAGTTGCTCAGTTTTTCTGTTACCGAGCTAATCACTGTGTTATGGCTGGATATATCCTACAACAGATCTGGTTGACTATGAAATGCTGTATTTCTGTTGTTCAGCCATATATAATACAAGAGTTGTAAAATCCTACCTTTCAGTATTATAGTTTAGTTATTTAATTTCATGTTATTGAAGACATTGGTTGTTTTATAATAACATAACTTCTATTTTGTAGTAGGACCAACCATCAGTCTTTGGTGCTCAGTGGGATTTCAACCTGTACGTTGAGATTGTAAATTTTCCCAGAAACCAAACTGCAGTATCTTTTTAATATCAATGTTTAATTTCCAAGATCATTCCAGGGTGAGAGATGGGGGCTTGCACCAGCTGTCATCTCAGGGAGGGCTAACAGAGTACCACCCTCGTCCCATGCGCAGTCCTCCCCCCCTGCGACGAGCCAGTCTTCCCCTTTTCACAACGACGTACAACCCCTCCAACCCCACTCCACCCCTCCTCAACACCCCAGATCAAACCCCACCTCTGTTTCTGGATGCTCTGGAGGGTGGCTCCTCCTTGGCCCATCGTGACACTCAGTCTCTGCAGACTGACATCAGGTCAGTTTAGCTCATAACACACTGTGACATGAATACTAGATGATGATTTGAACAGGGACAACGAGTTCAAGAGAGGACAGACTGCAGACACGACCAGGGATCCTATGAAATACTGATATAATGATGGCTCATGCACAGCATGTAGTGGTAGGAAGTCAGTTTCCGATCTGCTCTGAAACATTTCAGAAATCATGCTCATTAACATCTCAGTTAATAATTGCTTTGTGGAAAACATTTTTCCAGCCATTAATAAAACAATGACTGACAATAATTTTCCCAGTGGTGCTTTGAAGACACCTAAAGGTGAAGTTCACCCAAATTATAAAATATCATATTTCAGGGGAATAAAAATTCCTTCAAAACGGGCTCTGTGATGATGAGATGAAATGAGTGTGCTCTCTAAATTAATTGGGACATCCTATCTTAAAAACAGTGCTTTTGATCTGAAATGTCATTTTAAAAAGTAAGAGCCAAAAATACACAAATCTCCACTGTTTTTGTGTGCTGCTATAAACATCGACACATAACCTTTGGTAGAAGAAATTCTTCCTAAGAGTTGCTAATTCTCTGAAGAATCACAGACACAATGTGATGGATCAAGTCTCTGTTCTTAATGCAGCACAGAGAGAAAACCCACATGGTTGTTCTTTGTCAGACTTTCAGATGATCTTGTCTTATATACCCTCAGAGGAACAGTTGCTGACATGAGGTTGATTAATTCAGTCATACTTCCAGGTGTCAATCAGGCCTTCCTCAGTACAGTGGCCTTTCCTGGTTAGTTGATGTCATCTCTCTTCACCTTACAGCTTTAACACAGAATATCACATAGGCTTCATTTGGCATAGACATCATCAGAAATCCACACATTTCCTATTTAAACTCCAATGTTCATTTCCCACACCCCAAAATCACTTGCATTGCTATAGAGGAAAGTGAGAAAATTAGATTTTAGCTATGCTGGTCAACTGGCGCCACCATCAGGTCAGAGATTTAATTTTTCCAATACTTTGTTTTTTAACCAAACACATCTAAACTTTCTCATTAATCTTACTAAGAGGACAGTATAAATGAACAAATTCGTTTTCTCACTATGAGCATGTTTGCATACTGATTATATAATTTTGCGTAACGCATCACTGTGCCTTGATACAACCTCACAGAGCTGCCAGTGTGGCTTCATCTTAAAGAGAGAGCTCTGTCAACAGCTTGTTAATGTGACTATTTACAAATGGATTATTGTATAAATCAGAATATCCCAAACTCTTTTTGTCAGGCCTCTGTTTTTTGGATAAAGATGACAGTTATTTTTGACAATCCATTCACTGCATTGCCAGCCGAGTATTATTCATCCCTCATTGAACACTCCTTGCCTCCCTTTCTCTGGAACAGTGTCATAAAAAGACAGATGCACTGGATCAGATATATGAAAGTGTCAAAGTGTGCAAGTTCATGACCATATACTGTAAGTAAAGTAAGTGAGTGTGACTGAATTCTTCTGTGCTGTCCCCAGTTCTCTCTTTGACTTTGGGGAGAAGCTTGACTATCTGACGTCCAGCCAGCAGAACAACAGTCTCTCCTACTTGCTTCAGAACTCCTTCCCCACCAGCCAGCCCCAGCACCAGGCTCAAGCATCTCTACCTCGCATGGCTTACCTTACCCCCTCCCCCTACCTCACCCCCAACCCTCCAGATTCCAACCCTACCTCCTACCTGACCTTTGGGCCCGGAGGAAACTCCACGGGGGTGGTGACCTACTCCACTGGAGGCCACACCTATTTCCAGTCCCAGAGTGCTGGACAAATCCTGCTGCAGTCCACTGGTCATCATGGTGAGTCACTGGGAGCACTTGATTTATCAGGCCACAAAATTACACCAATCGAGGCAAACAACAAAATAATATAATGTCAAATAATTCTTCATCTCAGCTTCTCGTGATACCTGTTTACAAAAGGAGCATCTGGATACATTATTTGCTTGTTTTAAACGTCCCAGGTGTTACAGCCACAGCTCATTCAGTTTTGAGGAAGATTGTGAGATCACATTTACTCATGTAAATAGACATTTCACATTTCTGTGAAATGTAATTATTGTAGTAGTCCTCAACACACAGGCCTTTTGTTCAGTTCACAACACTATCTCAAAATTACTTGCATGAGTACTTGGTCTGGCACATTTCTTTAAATACTCCAATACCCATGATTCTGATAATTGCCTGTCTCATCAGCTTCCTACAAACTAGTAAATTAGACTTCATGTGATGTCTTTTTTTTCTCTGGCGGTTTTTTCTCTTCACTGTAGTTGACTTCACCCCATATGTTTTTATTAAAGACCTCATCAAAACCTGGAACTTCCCCAGCTGCCAGTAACATTGTCTAATCTGAAAATGAAGAGGACGTTTGCTTCTGTGTTGCATTCAGTTGACAAACAAGAACCACCATCCAACAACTGCTGTTAAATATGATTTGTATCAGTAAAGATGGCTGCAGGGTGGGGAAGTTTCTGGGGGTGAGCTGCCATTGCTCTGTGGCTCAGCTGACTGGGGGGGATATAACAGAAAATACTTAGTGTTTGTGCTGGATGATCTCTAATGAAGCCTTTCTGTTTGGATCTATGTGTGTGTGTTTCCCCTTCAGGAGGGATCACTGCATACCAGTCGTACCCGTGGGGTAACATGTACAACCAACCGACCATGCACCAGCGTACCCAGTGCCCTCCAACTTACCCTGCCAGCTTGGGGACTGCTAGAGATCACCAGCCTCCCTCCTCCACTACCCTGCCTCCCTCATTCTACCCTCAGGGGGAACTCGGGCTTTCCCAGCGCTCATCACACACCCAGCCACACACCACCACCACCACCAGCAGCAGCTCCACTGTCCTACCTCCTGTGTCAACTCTGCGACCCTCGCACCTCAGAGCGGAGAGCACACCAACAAAGGTTACATCCCTGTTACCTTCTCAGGTCAGCCCTGCCTCTCCAGAAAGCCCTCCAGTGCCCCCTTGTGTCAAGATTGAGTACGAAAGCCCCCGAGAGATTCACAGCCACTTCCACTGTGACTTCTCGCCCATACATTTTTGACTGTGTCTGAGTGTGTGTGTGTGTGTGTGTTTAAAATATCTGTGTAAATATAACCTGTGTGTTTGAGAGTGATCCTGCCATTCCTATCTAGTATATTACTATTATATAATGTCAGCAGGCTTGGTTGAGCTGCATTTAGCTGGGCTGTAATAAATGTTCTTTGTTCTGTGAAGCTTTTATTTTCTGCATTTACTTAATTAAGGAGGGTGGTGTGAGTGTGTGCATGTGTGTCTTGACAGAGGCATGATTACCTCCCAATACACAAATAAACCTTGATACCAAGTCAGAGAACGAGTGATATAGAACAAGTGTTCGAATAGGGTGAGAAGTTATGCAGAAACTTTACTTAGTCTGGATCTGAATGTGGTAACTTTGCATATTCTGTATATGAAGATGGATGACATGTCTCCACTTCCTCCCACTATCCAGAAATGAAGCTAAAATACCCTGGATACAAGCACTGCCATGATAATGAAACACACACTCTGCCCATCAGAATTCAGCCTCAATTGTCAATCATATCCCCAATCCCCCTGCTTTTATAGCATCAAATAACCAATTAAAACCAAACATAGTGGAAAATGAACACTTGAACATACATCACACAGGAGGAGTTCCTGTGTCTGTTAACGGTCCACACCTCTGGTGTTAAGATCATTTGATTGATGTGAGACATGCTGCTGATATCACTCATATCGGATGCATCTCTAGACCACAAGGGGGCGCCGTTCTTCGGTGTGAGACGACCATGACTGGAGGTTATTTACTTTTTTCTCAGATGCATCTCTGTGGTGGTGGTGGTAGTGGTGGTGGTATGTACTGTGTGACAGTCTAAACCAGTGAAGGAGAAATAAGACTGTTGTTTGTGGTGAAGAGGTATCCCAGATAATCTCTAATACTTCCCAAATCCTTAATCTGTGTTGCCATCTGCTGTGTTTACACATTTACTGCACTTTCTGCTGATTTTATTCTTAGTATGCAAGTCAGTTGCCGGGGTTGGTGGAAACCTAATCCCCCTACGTAACCTCTGTGTCTGAAATTGCTGAAGGCATATTCCTGAGACTAGAACAGACATGGGACCTGCATGTCATTTCCCCCTCTCAGTAGTCAAATGAAAAACATAAAGTTTTCTTGTTTTAACTCTAGTTAATATTCCTAGTTGGTAGTCCTGCTGTATATGAAAGTAAAGTTTGAAGTGAAGCTTGGATGATGTGGGAGTAAGAGAAGGAAGTGTTTGATGAGAGCGTCGAGGAGGAGGTGGCAGGGACCAGGGGAGCAGATAAAGGAGGATGGAGACAGGAGTTGAGGCGGCGGTGTGTCGGTCTGGGGACAAGGGGGGAGAGCTGAGATGAGCTGTTGCTATGGGAGGAGGAGAGGATGATGGGTGGGCTCTGCCAGCAGCTGTGGGAGGGAGAAGACGAAGGGGGGATGAAGGAGGAGTGTGTTTGTAGCACAGGGGGGTTCTGGGATGAACAGAACTGTTGGTTATGTAACGGTGTATTTGGGTTTTTAATGAACCTCTCTCTTCCTGCTCACTGGCTACTGAGCTGTTACTGTTGGCAGAGGGAGTGCAGCATAAACACACACATGCTCATACATGTGCTTCTATCTTTGTGGGGACTCATTGAAGTAATGCTGTAACCTTCTAACGCTAACCTCAACATACATGTATCAAACCTGACCCTTTTAAACAACGTCTCAAACTGCCTTTCTTAACATTTGACAGAGAGTGAGGAGCGTGTGAACACGTCCTTACTCTAAGTTCTTACAGTCAAGTGGTCCTTACAAAGATAGTACAAGCACACACTCACTCACACATACATAAAAACTTCATTTGCAGTGCAGAAAACACTCTTGCATAAAACACACAACACATTCATCTCAGGAGCGGAGCCCTGAGAGTGAGAGCTCCTTTCAGAGTTAAGGCAGTCAGGTTTTTACTCTTTTTCCCTCTACTCTCTGGATTTTACTTGTATCCAGTGTGTAGGTGAAGCCTGTCACTGTGAACCTTTCGCTCTCTGTAGTGCACATATTTCAGATTTCCTCTCATCCATGTGTCGGTGAGCTCGCATATGTGTTTCTGAGGTGGGTTTCATGTAGGTTAGTAATTAATTTTTCCAGGACTTCCCTGGTGTGAACAGAGAGCGCTCAGAGCGTAGCTGTAGGTTACGAGTGTGTGTGTGTGTGTGTGAGCATGTATGTTCATATGTGAGAGTGTTTAAGCACAGGTATGGGATGCTTCAGTCCGCCCCTGTCCCACCTCGTCAATATTGACTTAGTATTCTGAGATTTGGAGAAAGGGAACTTGTTTCAATATTTATGGATGTGGTCAAACGTGAAATCCTTGCAGTCTTTCCACACTCAGTATGTGACAGTATGCACGCACACACACGCACACTGGGGAAAAAAGGTGAAAGAAAAAACCCAGCACTGCTCGTTTCCAGTCAAGTCAGGGAGTTTATTGATATAAGTGATTGAAACTAATAATGTTGGTTGTTGGGACAAAAGTGAAACGGGGTTTGGAGACCCTCCAGTCCTCTGGCCCTCTGGTTCAAATGGAGCGAGTGTGTTGGATTTTTAGTTTGTTTTGAAAAGATAAGAAATAGACCGGTGTTGGGGTTGGACGGAGAGGGGACACCAGGGAGTGAGGCTGAGGAACACAACAATCTACTTGTTAAAATAAATAACTTTGCCTATTTTAAAAATGAAGACATACAAACAGATTAAATACCTATGCTGTAACCATATTGATATTAAATACATGCACTAAAATTGTAATTATTTGAATGTGGTTTTGTATAAAAATTCCAGCGTCATGCAGTGTGGCTGAGATGGACGTATCTGTTTGTTTTAAACATTTACTCTTTGGGTCTGGCAAGACTGTTATGACGGATATTCTCTATATTGAGCTCCCTGGAGTGGTTGAGCAGTTGGCAATGAGGAGAGGACTTACAGGAACATTTCCCTTTTTCAGTCAGAAAGCAAATATGCCTTGATGTCTCTATATTAGATTTCTATTTTGCTAACAGAAGGTATACGGACAAGGAGAAAAATAAATGTAAAAGCTGGATCTCAGAGTTGCAGTAAATCTGCTAAACTGATATGTGAATGCTACTGCATGAATATGTATTTTTGAGTTGAGTGTGAATATGAGAAAACCATTGAATTAGAGTTTAAAATGATTATTTATCAACAACAACGTATGAATAATGAATCCAGGGCTGCAATTAAGACTCTTTTTTCATTATTTAGTAATATTTTAATTATTTTCTCTTTCTAGTTTGACTTCAAATAGTTTGTTTTCTCCAACCAACAGAATAAATTCATCAGGGTCCAATTTACCACAATAGAAGATGAAGAAAACCAATAAAAAAGTTATATTTAAGAAGCTGGAACCAGAACATTATGCGTCGCTTAGAAGTTAACATAAATCAATGTTCCTGTTTTTTTTTTAATTGATTAATTATTGATTCATTCATTCGTTGTTCAGGTCTGTTTTAAATGTAGGAATTTACTGTTTCGTTTAGCATTATTGTAAGTTACTTTTAAAAGATGTCATCTAACAATTTTGCATAATTTTCTTGACTAAATAATTAATAATTAAGTCAACCAGTTCAAATACAAAGTGAATAGCAAAGGTTAATTTCATAGATATTTAATCATTTTGATCCCTTTAACTGTTTTTTTAGTCTCCATCACTGTGGAACTCATTACTCATGTAAATCATATGAAAACACATGATGATAAATTTCACCTGGAAGAGAAAAAAGTTCACACATACTGATGGATGCTCATCCCGCTACCCGTTAACATCTGTGTTTGTCCCGCCTGCCAGGGGACCAGCTTACATAATCTGTGTGTTTGTGTGTGTAGTGTATGTTTGTGTGTTTGTGTGTGTGTTCTGCCTTCTCTTAGAAACCAAATAGCCAATTTCCAGAGATGGCATGCTGTCCAGGAAAAACATCTTGAAGCTTTCATCCTCAAATCCCATCACACACACACACACACACACACACACACACACACACACACAGTTGATTTTGCTCTGTCTGGATAGTTACTGTACAGCACGCACCCTTGCTCCTCTTCCCCTCCCAAACTAAAACCTCAATTGCGGCTTGTTCGGGTTGTGTGTGTGGAGGAGGAGGAAGGGGGAGTGTATAGAGGAATGCAGGGTTGGGTCGGGCGGAGTGGGATGTCGGAGGGAAAAGAGGGGTCTCTGTTTGTCGTGTATGTGGACTCTATAGAGAGATTAAAGATGTGTATTTGGGGTTATTGATGAAAGTGTGTTTACTCCACTGGGGCCCACTGCCTACCTGACAGAGGGGAGTTATGGAGAAATAGGCTGGAAAAGGAATTAAGGGGAAAGAGGAAATAGATTTTTTTATTATCTGGTTGAAATCGGGGAATCTTCCACTTTAGCTTGGTAGTTTGTGCAATATAATCTTTGTTTTACTTATGACACTCTAAAATACGAGAAAGTTAAATGAAGGTCCTCATGAAGGAAGTGAGAAAGAATATGGACGAGAGTGACAGAAAAATGCAAAAAGTTACGTGTGATTTAGGAGCTCTGAACTGAGGTGAACTTACAAAACCAGCAGTTGGCGCGTGTACTTCCAGTTCTACAGAAACACATGCTTATGCAGAAATGCACACACATGCCAAGGTGCGGAGCTGCAGGAACACTGTAGGCTGTGTACAGCGGCTCTCCTTCACTTCCGCACCATAAATGTGTGTTTGCTATATGAGGGAACGCTGGGAGAAAAGAGGAATTCATGTTGGTGTTTATTTGAGTTTTGGCCAAATCCAACCTGGGACGAATGCTTTGGCGGGTCTCTGCACCAAACCCCAGCCGCTCCTGTACCCCCAGCCAGTCACACACACATACTGTACACACTCAGACCATCATGCGCACACACATCAAAAACTTTACTACTTTGACACACACACATACCTGTCCATCCTACCCATACCTAGGTGTTTGTCTTTCCCTGCCCACTGGTTTAGGTCCTCCCAGGGCAGGTATTTCCCTTTCTTACACACACACACACACACACACACACACACACACACACACACACACACACACAGGAGCTGCAGGGGGGGGGGGCTGTCTGTGGGCTGAGTGTGTGAACCACTTGCATTGATAACCTGCAGCTCAGAGTCACTCTGTCTCACTTTGTGGCCGTCCCCCTCGCCAGGAACTCCCTTCGCCCTGCTCTGTCTGCTTTCTACCTTCTCACTCCAGGACCGTCCACGGACGTGCTCTCCCTCTGCGTTAAGTCGTCACCCCTGTCGCTGTCGCCATGACGCCTACCCCGCCGCTGTTCATGCTGCTGTTGCTTGGGCTAATGGGAGCCCATGCCACCGTAGACGTCCGCACAGCCGCCGCCATGGGTAAGAATGATGACCTTTAACCCCTGAAGTTGATCCTAGTTAGATAATAGTGTCATGTGTGAATAATACATCAAACTCTTTATCCTGAAAAAATGTTAACTGTTTGAAAAACTTAGCCTCAGTGAGAATCATGATGCCTGAGTGAAATCTGGTCTTAAGAGACTGAGACAAAGACTTTATCCTATAAGATATTTATCTTGAAATGAACGATGACAAGATGTATATGAAGTTTTTGCATCTGCAGTTTTTGCTCTGTAGAGTAAAATAAAGATAGATAACAGACAGGTAGTAAGGACAAAAGTAGAATTTGTATTTTATTATTAAAATACTATAAAATCCTATTTTTGTTTCATTTCATGGCTCTTATTTTATTGGCACATAAGAATTTAATTCTATTGTTTATTGTCATTGATTTGCGGTGATTTGTCAGTACTGCACAATGTTGTGGTTTCATGTTACTGTTTAAATTGAATGCGTCAAATGTTGTATGTGCACAATTTGGAGTGCGGCAGTTGGTACAATGTGTGTGTGGGTGTGTGTGTGAACTGAATGGAGGGAGAGAGGTGAAGGGTGAGAAGGGAGATCAGTGACGTTTAACTGACGCTGGAAATTTTTGTGAGCACTAATTAGTTTAATAATTAAGTTTAATTTATTTAATAAAGTAAAAAACAACTGAGCTCTCAATGAAAATCTTCACTTCCTTTGCTTTTTTAATATCAGACACTTTCACAAAATCATTTTGTGTCTCACACACACATCATGTAACTCTGTCAGGTGTTAGTTTGATAAAGTAAAAGTAAAAGTAAAACAGTTTGATCAGTAGAGGTTTTCTGAGATTTTTCTGAAACGTCTCAGGTTCTTCCTCAGTGATTAAAAAAAAGAAAGAAAGAAAGAAAGGAAGAAGAAAGAAACAATTATAATAGTAAATATTTTGTGTATAAGATATGTTAGGATGCTTTAAAAAAACAGATTTAAATCTTGTGGCTTCTCATTTGATCTTTTTGCTCCTTCATTTTTCTAGCCGAGCTTTCCTCCACCTCTGCCTCTCTCTTCACCTCTGTTGCCTCTGTACATCACATCTCTCCAGCCTCCATCAACTCTGCCCTCCCCTTTTCCTCTCACTACCTCCTTTTTCTCCATGCTCCTCCCACCCTCCCCCTTTTCTTCCCTCTTCATTAAGCCCCGTATCTGAATATTGACTTATACATTTCATACCATCTAATAAAAATTGATGGCACAATATCAGATAACAATCACACTCCCTTCTCTTTATGTACAGCGGCAGGTTTGTGCAAAACCCGTCCCACAGACATCGTGTTCATCATCGACAGCAGTCGCAGCGTTCGTCCTTCAGAGTTTGAGCAAGTCAAGGTCTTCCTGGCGAAGGTCATTGAAGGCCTGGACGTCGGACCCAATGCAACCCGCGTGGGAGTTGTCAACTATGCCAGCCGTGTCAAGAACGAGGCATGTGTATGATTTATTAATGTGTTTTTGTCGTTGGTTGAACCACTTTCTATTGCTGACCTTTCTCTGATGCACCTGCAGGTGTCTCTTAAGACTCACCGCACCAAAGCTGGACTGATCAAGGCCGTGACCAAGATCGAGCCGCTGTCCACTGGAACAATGACTGGACTGGCCATCCAGTTCGCCCTGAACGTGGCCTTCAGCGAGGGCGAGGGCGCTCGTGTCAAATCTCCCGATATCAGCAAGGTCACATACACATTTTGCATTTTCACCATTTCATAATCCTTTTCAGTGTACTGTGTCTAACTCTGCAAGTCTTCATGACAGGTTGCCATCATTGTGACAGATGGGCGTCCCCAGGACAACGTAAAAGACATTGCTGTCCGTGCCCGTGATGCCGGCATTGAGATTTTTGCCATCGGTGTGGGACGTGTGGATATGAGCACTCTGAAGCAGATGGCCAGTGAGCCTATGGACGACCATGTGGACTACGTGGAGAGCTACAGCGTCATCGAGAAGCTCACCAAGAAGTTCCAAGAGGCCTTCTGTGGTAAGTCGAGAGGAGAGGTAAGAGGAAGTGAGAGGAGGAGAGGGAAAGATGAGCAGTGTTGTTTGGGTTTATGTTTACAGTTAGAGACTCGGAGGAAATAAAGAGGGATTAGTCCTCAGTGATAGAGGCCCGGCTGAAAAATAGATTAATTCATAATCCATGCCTTCATCCCCGTGGAGAGAGCTGTGTGCTGGCCTTCCTGCACTGAGGGTAAGGTGTTAGGACTGTCATCTTTTCATTCTAGTTTACTGTTCCCTCCCTTTTGTCCTCACCACAGTAGATTCACTGATTCAGACTCATTAAATATTCCCAGTGCACGAGGGCATCAGGGCAGGAACAACCTTTGGGAACCAAATCTGCTCCTGGTGATCAGTCTCACATAAACTGAGAGGCGAGACTGATCTATCTGTAATTACCGATCCATTAGTGACATCATTAAACCTCTAATTAGTGATGTCCTTCGGCGCTCACAATCTGCGGCGGTTTTGACTGCTGCCTGCCACCAGTCTCGCTGCAGATGTTTCCGTCCGAAGGCAGAGCTGCATGGTCGCAGAGTTGGATTGTTATTGGATGAGCCTGAGCATTCAATTGAGAAACTGACATGCAGGTGTTGCTTATTTAAGGCAACTCCAATGTTTTCCACCTGGTCGTTTTAAGGATCCACTGGATTTCTGCATCATCCACCCAAGCATCTTAAACATTGTTCACGTCTACTGCAGGTCACAGTGGATCATTAAAAAAATGAGATGCTAGATTTTCAAACTGACATAGTTTCATTCTCTCCTCCTAACCCCAACCACCCCTCCCCATCTTTGTGTGTGTGTGTGTGTACGTGTGTGCTCTGCATCCACACACACACACACACAGTGTCCGACCTGTGTGCCACTGGGGATCATGATTGTGAGCAGGTATGCATCAGCAGCCCTGGATCATACAAGTGTGCCTGCAAAGATGGCTTTACCCTCATGGACAATGGTCGCAGCTGCAGTGGTGAGTGTGTGCAAGTGTGTATGAAAGCATTAGTTCAAGCATGATCGTTGTGCTCACACATTAACATGCTGTGTATGTGTGTTTGTGTGCGTGTGTGTGTGTTGCCAGCTTGCAGCAACTCTGCAACAGATGTGGTGTTCCTGATTGACGGCTCTAAGAGTGTTCGTCCTGAGAACTTTGAGCTGGTGAAGAAGTGGATCAACCAGATCATCGACAAACTGGATGTGTCTGACAGCAAGGCTCACGTTGGACTGGTGCAGTACTCCAGCTCAGTCAAAGAGGTAAGTGTCTGTCTTTTGCTTACAGGATCACCACAATGATCCACTTCCTTCCATATCACATCATCATCCCATTTCTGTCCCACAGGAGTTTCCCCTGGGTCGCTACAACAACAAGAAGGACCTGAAGGATGCTGTGAAGAAGATGGCCTACATGGAGAGGGGAACCATGACAGGTCAGGCCCTCCGCTATATGCTCGATAACAGCTTCAACACAGGTCACGGTGCCCGGCCCGGAGTCACCAAGGTGGGCATTGTGTTCACTGACGGACGCAGCCAGGACTACATCGGAGACGCTGCAAAGAAGGCCAAGGAAAATGGTAGGGAGGAGAGGAACATTAGAGAAATGTAAGTAAACTCATAGAAAAACCCTCTTACGTCAGTGGGATAAAGGGCCCTTGTGTGTATGTTTCAGGCTTTAAGATGTATGCTGTGGGAGTGGGCAATGCAGTGGAGGATGAGTTGAAAACGATTGCCTCTGAGCCAACTGCAGAGCACTACTTCTACACCGCTGACTTCAAGGCCATGACCCAGATCGCCAAGAAACTGCAGATTAACATCTGCCAAGGTCAGAAGACTTCATTAAGTACAAACAGAAATAATAATAATAAATAAGTGCATGAATGATTTCACTGTAGTAGAGCGAGTCAAAACTTTAACTTGTGCTCTCTGATCCCACAGAGGATGACCCTTGCGAATGCGACTCCCTCGTAAAGTTCCAAAAGAAAGTAGAAGATGCTCTACAGGCACTAACAAAAAAATATATCCTTTACAACAGGTGAAATGGTCCGAGGATGTGATGTTGGGAGGGAGGGGATTAATGCTGTGGGTTTATTGTCTTGATGTTTTCATCGTTCTCTCCTTGACAAAATCTTACTAGAGAGCATGTCGAAGAGGATCGCCTTGCTGGAGAACAAAATCGTCTGAGGACTCAAAACCCACTTTCCCCTCTACATCTGCACACTCACTCACGTACTTACACAACACACACAAAAGTTTTTTTACTTCCTGTAAAATGCTGAAGAGGAAACCGTGCATGTGTGTATATGAAGCCTGACCTCTGCCTGTATCCTGAAACTCTCCCAAACCACCTCTGCCTCCTCCTTTTCTTGGTCTTTACCTCCTTCACCCTTTGGTCTCCTGGGACACGAAGCGCTGGTTGCCAAGGGGACCACACCTTTGTGTGTGCGTGCGCTCTGAAAGTCATCCTCCATAGCCAGCCTGTGCGTTTGTTAATAAAACTCTTCCCTCATAGGGAAATGGTGACAGTTCGCTGAAGGTTTGTTTCCTTAGTTGCTGCCACAATGTTGAATCTTTCCAAACCGCAGTCTGTGTTGTTTATGTCAATAGAGAAGCAGCACATCACCTTCACTTGTCTGTTTATATGTCACTGTCATCTTTCCTTCTCTATCTTCACCTTTCTTCTCTTCCCCACACACAAAGGTATCTAATATTATAAATGGTATATATATACAGGTAAATTAATATAAGATATATGTCTGGAAATAAGGGTACACCATTGATGTTTTTTATTTTCCTAAATAAAGGTGATTCAGGAAGTAAATATTTTAAAATTGTGAAACTATTTTTTACATAAACTTACACAAAGAGTAATGCACATATACACACAGTTTCAGTTCATCTATTTTATCTCTGTGGTCTTTGGCTATTAAAGGTGGGCTTCAGGGACCAGGAGGGCTACATGGATGTTCCCAACAAAATGGTGAATGGCTTCAATTCACTGCAGAATTGCAACTTGGTCATAAAAACTATCGTGTAGGGCTAAACTTCCTCTCAAACTGCAATGATCTGGACAAAGTCAGAGGTGGATCAACAGTCTATTGCTGATCTTTTGAGTTTCTGTTTTTTTCACTGACACATAATGTGAATCAGTTAACGATTTATTGTCAGTAAATGATTGATTGAATTTGTTTATCAAGAAACTATTAAAAATGCAAAATATGTGCTACAATATAAGTTTCATATTATGAAATCAAAGCTTTTTTGCTCGACAGTTTAGGCTGTGGTAGGTGTGATGGGCATTTATACACCATGTAATCCGATTAATGGGAAATAAAAGTATCAGCACATTAACGTGTACATTTATAGAACATGAATATTGAATATTGCAAACAGATATACTGTGTGTAAAATTGTATTATATAATTTATTTCATTTGTTTACTACCATTATTTGTGGTGTGTTTGGAGTGAGTTTTATTCTAGCACGTGGCAACTTGTAATAAAGCTTTAAATGGAGAATAAAACAACTAGTGAGTGAGCAGGTGTCAGAAGTGGAGCACAGAGACAGAACCCTGTGTTCATTCAAACTTATAAACCTGAGAGCAACCATCAGTGAAAGTTTGAGACGCGTCACGATGACGTAGCAGAAGTGAGACAGCGGCTCTGAAGAGCAGCTGAAACGATCCCGGACAGAAGCGGCTCCTTTTCTCCCGGAGCCTCGGAAAGCTGCTCTCAGACGCGAAATGGTTCGATGCTGAGCTCAGGGAGTCCATCACAGATACAACCCACCGGCTCATAGGGTTTTTATCATCGACACGACAGACGCGCTGCCGAAACACCGCAGCATCTGCTCAGGCTAGCGAGGCTAGCTCAGCGAGCTAACCCCGGCTTCTTGCGTCAGGCAGCCCGGTATGAGAGAGAGGAACAGCCGCTATCTCTGAAGGAGGTCCGTCTCCGTTAATAATTTGTGGAGCTGAGGATTGCGCAGTGAACCGGGAGAGACAGCGGACACCTCAGGTATTCAGCAGGGGAGAAGCTTCACGCTAACGTCAGGAGTTTATAGCTAACATCAGCTAGCGGTAACGTCAGGTGCCTCCGGTGCTGCCACAGTCTGAGCTCCGGGCGCTGAGACGAGTCATGGCCGGTAACCCCTCTGCAGGCGTCAGCTGCAAGGCTAACGGACAGAAGACACCGGGGCGAGTGTCCCGCCGCTCGTGTCGCCTCCAGTCCGAGTCCGAGTCCGACGTTGTGCCGACCGCGAAGAGCTTAGCTCGACTGTGCAGCCGGGACGAAGAGGAGCGGGCAGCGGCTCTGGAGGAGCTGAGCCAGGGGATCCTGGTGAGTCTGGGGCTGGACAAGCCCGGCTCGGCGCGGCTGAGCAAACGGACTCTCCTGCATCTGCTCCGCCTGTCCCGCTCGTGTCCGCTACAGGAGGTGCGGGAGAGGGCAGCCGGGCTCCTGAGGACCGCACAGGTAACGTGAGGATACTTTTTTTAACTGTCTGCCTCCATGTTTACAGACCTGTAGCAACACAGACATGGACTGGTCCGCGCTGATGCCAGATTCATATCAGGCAGGAGTTTGTCACATTTTTAGGACCATTGATTTCGCCTTCTATCATGAAACACCAGCATTAAGTGGATGAGTGGTTAGTGTGAATGGGGATGATACACCTGATGAACTATCGGTTTTGTGTGTTGGATTGCGGGTTATTTCATCAGACAAACTGGGGGAGGTGACGCAAGACTCAGCTGCGGTGTACGAAAACAAGCAGGCCGGACACGCCCCCTCTCGCTGCTGTGAAAAGCAGCAGACACACCCCCCCGGTCCCTGCTCAGCTTCTAGAGACCAGTCACAGTCAGACTTCATGTGAGGCTTTACACCAGCGATCACTTTATTTCTCTCCTCTGCTGGAATCAAGAAGCTGTGACTTCTCTCCTCCTCATGACGTCTGTGAGTCTGACGCTCGGTTAGATGGGGATTTGATAATCCGCATGTTATGAAACGAGTTACAGCTGCTCCGGTCAAAGTAGATCTGGTCAAGTTCAACGGAGCTGAAGGTTTTGCAGATATTTGCTATGATCATGAAATGTTCTACATAAAATGTTATACGGATATTAATCATTATCTGTAACAATTGTTCCTTAATTTGACGTCTAACCTTTAAGTTTTTGTTTGCTTGAAACATTTCTGAACTAGATTCAGTATTAATCCATCTCCAACACTTTGAAAAGTGAAGATTATATAGTTTATTGATGATTAATGAACAGAAAATAGTTTTCGGCTTTGTGCGTAATCAGTAAATGTCACATTTCAAGCAAATAATGCCAATCGTGTCTTAGCTCTCACTTTCACTTAGGAGACTTTGATGTCTGTCTTTTGTCTCGTGATGATTCACTCAACGTTTTAGATTTTACTCTGTTGACAAAACAAGTAATTAGATAATAATAGCTCTAATATTAAAATATTAGTTCTATAGCACTTATATAAACAAGGTTACAAACTGCTTTATAAAAGAAATAGACCAAACAACAGAGCAAAATAAGAAAGGCAAAAATAAGAAATATAAAATAAAATAAAATTCTAAAAAACTAACACTCATTAAAACTAATTTAGTTGATATGGCCTTGAAATCGTGATGAGCATATTTCACCATTTTCTAAAGTTTGATAGATCAAATGATTATTTAATAATATAATCAGCAGATTAATCATGAAAAACAAATGAGTCACTAATTATTCACTGTACAATTGACTCTGTGCTTTCCATACTTCCAGGAACAAGGAGTTGAAGTACCTCGGGCTCTGGCCTCCGGTCCAAGTGCCTTTATCCCTGCAAAACAGGTATTTATGACGAGTAGAGTACATTTATTTATGGATATTGTATTAGTATTCACACATGAACCTCATGACCTATCTATCAATGTTAAAACCTGTATGCAGAAGATTTTTTTTATTATAACAACAAGAAATTTCCATTTATGTAGTCAGTCAGTATTTTTTTATTGTGGTCACGAAAACATTCATTTATTTAAGTTCTCATGTCCACACTTCAAATCTGTAGTCTCACAAGTTGATTTCAGTGCAACACAAAGCCGACCTCTGTTATCTCAGGCTTTTATACGGCTTGTTGCACACTGCCATCGTGATAAACAGTCAGATCAGATCATAACCTCTTGTGCCAGGTGTTGCTAGTAACACTGAACTGTACTTGTGATGGTAAATTCTGTTCCACATTGGCTCAAATGAACGATATATCAGATTGGAAAACAACTATCTCCTTTCATTGTGTGTCTGGGACATATTTTATGATATTTAAAGCTACTCTCTGAGCAGTGTTGACAATTATTCTGCTGCAATATTATGGAGCCTGTTGCTTCATGTCATCAAGAGACGCAACACCAGTAATGTGTTGCAGAAGCTGATGACTGTCCATGCTGCTTTCATATGTGACTCACTCCTAACTTTCCACAGGAGAAAAGGGGAAGTGCTGCTGTTTATGCCCACAGGAGAACATGTCCTCAAATGTATTTGAAAATATATTGTGCTTAGCTGTCAAGGTATCAGTTATGAACATTGACTCCTTCTTCAGACGCTGAAAGAAGAGCTGGACCAGGACATTCTGATCGAGTCCTTTCTTTCACTGGGTCGTGTGGACCATGTCACCATGGTGATGGCCCTGCACCCTGCCTACCTCAGCTGCTTCCTGAGGGCCCAGCATGCTTTGTTGGAGCTGGACGGCCCCTTGCCCTGTCACTGGAGACATTACATTGCCCTCATGGTAAGAAAGACAAAATATATGATGATTAAACAGTGATACCTCCTTTTAGTTCTGCTTTACCTCAAAAATAAAGACTTCAGCTGTTTCTTATGTACAAAAAGCAATCAAATTGAGGAAGTGCAAAACTTTCAGCAAGAAACTGCTGAATATAAAATCTAGCAGGGGTTTTCCAAAATACAGATATGCGAGCGCTGCAGTGTTAGATCAACTGGATCATTGTTTGCTACCTTAAATTTGTTGTGTTTATCTTCTATCCATACATACACAATAAACCCTTTCATAAGAAGTGAATAAAAATGCATCAAATACATATTTGTGTGCTCTGAAATTGCTCTTGGCTATAAATGGAGCAGTTATGGTGTAAATGTGCTGCATTCAAATGGCACTTTATGAGTCTTATCGACCACTCAAAAGGCTTCACACATCCCATTCCCACACTCATGGCACAGCCCTCAGGTCTGGGTGAGTGGGATTTTGTAGGAGTTACAACCATGTTTTTGCCTTGTGTTTATTACCTTGTTTATTATGCATTCATTCTTTTTGTGTCAAATGAGGCAGAAATAACAAAAGCAATAAACACTGTAAAGCCTTTAATTGGCCTGTGAAAGGCTCAGTTCAAGAGTTTAAATATTCAAAATAATGGCACACTGTTTTTCAACGTTTCCAACTGAAACTCTCATAGTTGGATACACAAACCTGCAACAAATGAAATGAACAAAGCCTGTCAGTAGCTTTATTAATTTACTGTTATGTGAAAATGTCCCTGGACAAACAATTGCTCTTACTGTAGTTTCACAGTTTGTGCTTTTACACTTCAGCTTTCAGAACAAACAGATGTTTTGATGTTTTATCCTTATGATGCTCCACTTTGGACTTGTGTAACAGGTCATTGACTCATTGGTATTTCAGTGTCTATTGAACCAATGATACTGGACTGATTACCAGCTGAAGGAGGGACAGATGTTAGACATATGCCCTATATATTGAAGGATTCAAAACTTGTGCTTTGTAGGCCTGAATTTTGAAGTAAAATACATTCCTGTGTCAAGTAACAAGGTCTTTCCTGACTGAAAATACCCTGCAGCTGCAATGCTCAGGCCAGTGTGCACACAGCCCAGCAACAGTGCCACCAAGGGAGCCATGAACAGCTCCACTAAGACGGCTTTGTTCATTTTGGGTTATTTCAAACATGTTTGGAACGCTCTCAGTTTAGAAATTCTTTTGTTTTTACCCAGTCTGAGTTTACGCATGTTCCTGACCACACTGTGCACACCGTCACCGTTCCCTCGAGTTCTGGGACTATCATAAAGAAGCTACGCCATTTGTTTATAGTAATCAACTGCTCATAGACATCAATTTGGCCTTGGACAAACGTGATGACTATAAGCGGTGTCCACTGTACTAAAATTTTGTCGGGAGGCGGAGGTGTCAAATAATTTGATGCAGGCGACCGCTTGCAGTTCTCTATGCAGGAAAAACCCTGGTTTACTTTTCTTCTGAAGAAAATTCATAGGGAAAATTTCCAGTCAATAGTTGTAGGTACATTTTATACTATTAAACAAAAACATATATGATCTTGAACTTGATAGAAAGATGAACATGTTGCGTCATTTTTCTGTGAACACTTCTGTGAATACTTTTCTATAACGTCGTTCATATACACGGAGCAGTCTACAGGTTTTTTATTAGATGGCTGTGTACTG